TTAGATTAGGACATGACATCAGTCTGTTACCAATCCTGTAAGCAATGCAGATCCACATCTACCTGGGTTAGAAGTTTGAGCATCTTTGTTAAGCTCAGATCTTTATTTGTTTTAAATCCATGCAAATTTTTTAGCAGCCAATTTTATGTTTGTTTCTTAGAAAATTCTTCTTTTAAGGCTTCAGTCTAATTGTGGCACTCAGTCAGAAAAGAGGAAAGCTTTGATCTCCTTCTAACCAGATGGGCCAATTCAAGAAACCACAAAGGCTCTAAGGAGCTGGGACAGATGGAAGGAAGGGGTTGTCTGGAATGGCAACAGATATAAAATGAGCAAGGTCTAGATAATTCAAGAAATATGTGAGAAATATATAAACCTACTGCCATTGAGTTGATTCCAACTCATAGTGACCCTCATTGGGTTTCCAAGGCTGTAAATCTTTATGGAAGAAGATTGCCTCATCTTCCTCCAGCTATGGAATATAAAGATAAGCTGTGAAAAACAGTCTGGAATAGTTAAATCTAGTTTCTAACTTATAGTCAAGTTTGATTTTTTTTTCTTTTTTTATCTACCAATTATGCAAAGCAGTGATATATTCCATAAGATTACAGTGAGGATTCAATGAAGTATATATAGCACTTCAAACATGCCTAGCACTTAGCAAGCACTCCATAAACATTAATATACTTAAAACTTTGCTCAGTATACCAAGTTATTCTGGTAAAATCAGATGCATTTGACCCATAAATGCACTGTCAGAAATGCTACTGATTTATTTTTCAAATGTCTTGTGATTTGGGTGCAAATTTACAAAGCAGATTCATTTTACACAAAACAGTTCATACACATTTTTTTTTTTTTAATGGCACCAATTATAATCCCCACAATGGAACAGCTTTCTTCCAGCCTCCCCCTGTGGTTACCCCTTCCTTGTGTCCTTCTTACATATGCATTCCTGTCTATCTAGGTTTCTCCCTATGCAAATGCTGCCCTTCAGATCTCTTGCAATTGACTTTTCTAAGGAGTTCATCTCTCTGGAGTAGGTTTTCAGCTCATAGGCCTTTCTGTTGTTTGGCTGAGAGCTAACCCATTGGAATGAGTCCAATTCCAGGCCCAAAGAGTAACCTGGGACCATAGTCTTGGAGGTTTCACCAATTTCTAACCAACCAGTTAATTCTGTTCATTTTTATATATTTTTATTTTGTTCCACCTTTTCAATCCCACTCTATCTAAAATCTCCAATTTTGATCCCTTTCCAAGTGGTTGATACTGGTAGCCAGGCACCATCTAGTTCTTCTGGTCTCTGAGTCCTTAGGCTGAGATTCCTGTAGTCCATTAGTCCCTTGGACTTGCCATATGTCCTTGATTTCTTTGAGTCTTCTTTGCTCCAGACAAGGACAGACCAATTGTTGCACCTTAGGTGCATTGTAGATGGCTGCTTGTAAGCTTTTAAAACCCCAGTTTCACCAAAGTAGGATGTAGAACAATGTTTTTGTGTACTATGCTGTGCCAATTGAGAGATGTTACTGATTTTAAAAGAAGCTCCACAAATCAAAGAATGATACACTTAGAATTTTCATAATATTCAACCTCCTCTCTTAATCGTTTGACTTAGATTATAACCCCAACAGCTTTTGTTAATACAGAAGTGCTGTCATTGTGTCTATTTAATTCTATGCATAATTCTTCCCAGAATATTCTAATGGCTATTTTTTTCTAATTTCATTTTTTGTTTGTTTGCTTGGCTTATAAGTTTGAATAACCTTTCCTGATATGAAAGTTCTGGGAAAGGCCTGGACAGCCACAAACACCTTCCACTCAGGTCTTGTCATAATGCATGAAATCCCCACACATTACTCATTTCTTTTAAGTCATGAAAGGCTTCTGCTAAGTGTAACAGTTAGCTGGGCAGAAAACAGGTAAAGCTTTAGCTAGCTATTAAGGCTCCTCTTCAATTGCTTTATCAGTTCCCCAGCATGAGTTTATCTGCTCATTGAATAGTTTAACAAAACATTATTGAATGCATAGTAGGAGATAGGATTATAAAATTGAGTGAGCTGTGCTCTTAGCCCCAAGGAACTCACACACAAAAGAGACAGTAGAATATAATGATTAGTAGTGCTGACACTGGAATCAACAAATTGGGTTTAAACACAGTTTTGCCAGCTATTTCTCCCTGGAAGGACCTCTCTCTGCCTGTTTCTTCCACCACACAACTTTTTAGTAAGTAGTAACTATGTTTATATGCTTTGCCAAGTTATTAGGAAGGAATAACTTAATATTAGTTTTTATTATTACCATTGTTATCACATATATACAAGTCATAATAGACCATTTTTTCCTATTTCCATTTTAATTGATTTCGACTCATAGTTACCCATGTGTGTCAGAGTAGAAGTGTAGTTCATAGGTTTGTAATGGCTGATTTTTCTGAAGAAGATCTCCAGATCTTTGTTTTGAGACACTTTTGTGTGGATTTGTAATAGAGTACTTGTTGGCATATATTCAATGTGCTTTGGTTATAGACAGATACAGTATAGTGCATAATTCTGCCTGGGAAATTATAAGGTTTTTTTCTAAAGAAGTTATACTAGATCTAAGTGTGGAATCACTATGGCAGCTATCAGAGGAGTTTCATGAGCAAAGACTCTGAGGCAGATAAGACCATCAAACATAAGAAAAGTGAGACCCTAAGTGGAATTGGAGCAAAAGAAGGATAGGTTGGAGAAATGTAGTATAAAGAAGGTGTGAGAAGAAGTTGCGGGAATTTTTTGAAGGGCCTTATGCTGGGGTAAGTGACTTGGACTTTGGTCAACAGACATCAGTGCCAAGTGAGAAGTTTTTGGAGTTTTAAGAGTGACATAAACATGCCAGATTTTGGGAAAAAACCACTCTGATAGTTTGCGGAATGCAACCTTGAAGCAGAAAAGGAGACTAGTGATAGGCTTTTAAAGAGAAAGCTGTAGTCATCCACAAGATAGGACAATATTAGAGGAAACAGCAATGAAATGCAAGTTTAAAAAACACTTCCAAAGTAAAGTCAACAAAACACTATGTTGTGTTATAGGATATTAGCTCACGCTACTGTCCTGAGAGCCACCCTAGGAACTTCCTTCTCCACAGTTTCTCTGTCTCTCAATGCCCTCTTTCCTCCTAACCCCACACCCATTCATTCTATCATCAAGTCTTATTGATCTCAAGTCCTAAATATTTTTCCAACTCCATTCTCTTCTTTCCATCATCACATGTTATGATCTCACATCAGGCCATTACTATCTCTTCTGTTGACTATTTCATTAGCCCCTTGTTTTGCTGTTGCTGACCACCTCTTTCTAACTTATCCATATAGAGTTCCACAGTGATACTGTTAACATAAAATTTGATCATCACCTACCTGGTTAAAATTTTCCAATGGTTCTGCCATCACACATAGTATAAAAGATAGACTTACTTAAAATTTAACTAGATACCTGCTTCTCCAGCCTCAACATTGGCCATATCCATTCTAAGATTTCCAGGTGATAAGGTATATTATTATTATTATTATTATTATTATTATTATTATTATTTATAAGGTAAGGATGTTTGGTTTGAATCCCCACCTTGCCATGTGTACATTTCTGTATCATGAGATCAATCATATTCTTTCAACAAATTTTAATAGGAGACTCCATATATATATGTTTCAGGCATATTTGGTTGATATTAAGTAAAATAATCAAAGCCTTCCATAATCTTTCTTCAATTTATTTACCAAGGCATTTGACTGCTAACCAGAAGGCTAGTGGTTCAAACCCACCAGCCACTTCTCAGAAGAAAGTTTGGGCAATCTACTTCTGTAGTGATACTGCCTAGGAAAACCAAGGAGGGGTCACTATGAGTCGGATCCGACTTAACAGCAGTGCACAGTGTTGTCATTGTATGATTTTTTTGAAGTCTTTCACTCAAGTGACAACGGTGTATTTACATCCCTTCTTGAGGCACAGCCTATGTCTTGCCTCTTCAAAGTTTTATCTCGTCAGCTATCTTGTGTGAAACTCACTATCAATTTTTACCTTCCTCTCTAGATCCTAAACATTTTCTACATCCATCTTGCTTTGTGAAGCATCACTAGTTACTTCAGCTCACAGGGATTACTCACTTTTTGAACTGCCCTTCCGCTTACCATCTCAGCTATTCAGTTCCCAATTATCATCATTTCCTGCCTTGTGATATTGCTGTATTGTTTTATTCAATTATTATTTATCTCTTGCATTGTTTGATTAGTTTTTAAGTGTTTATACTTTACTTCCTGATCAGGATTGTAATTTCCTTGAAAGCCAGGACTTTGTCCTGTACTACTATCTTTTAAAAAAAAGAAAATTTAGACCTTCCACAATGTCTCATATACTGTAGTCATTTAAGTATCTGCTAATTGAAATGTTGACTGATATATCTAAAGAAGGAAAAAACATTTTGAGTTCACAAACTAGAAAATAACTTGAATTAGGGAATTTCATTTTTCACTTATCATGTGTTATAATTTTAAGAGAATGCACACAATTAACTCTTTTAATTATTAAATTTTCTCAGACATTTAAGAATATATGTGCTTATTATGTTATGTGTCAACTTGGTTAGGCTGTGGAGCTCATTTGGTCAAACATTTGTCTAGGTGCTGCTTGAAGCAGTTACATATGATTAAATCAGTTGACCTTAAGCAGATAATGTAGGTGTGCCTCACCAATTAATTAAGAATATTAAGAGCAGAAAGGGAGTTTTCCCAAGAGAATATACAATAAATAGGCATCTTGCCAGAACTCCTCCACTCTTCTCTTTCTATCCCCTGATCTACGGATTTTGGGACATAAAACAATGAATCTACAGCATGTCACCTGGCCTACAATCACATAAGCCAACTTCTTATATTAAAATTTTTCTTTCTATCTGTCTATCTATCTATCTATCTATCTGTCTGTCTCTCTGTCTACCTATCATCTACCTATCTATCTATCATGTCTTACTGGTCTTGTTTCTCTAGAGAACCCTAAGAGAAAAAAAGCATATGATAATATAGTACTCAATTCCTGATTTAGTTACAGAGTCCTCTCAGCAGAAAAAAAAAAAAAAAAACTTCCCCATTTATAGATAAGGTTAAGGAGGGAAAAAGCAGAGGAGCACTAAGAAGGGAGAAGGAAGGATGGACAGGAGGTAAGAGAGAAGAGGGAAGAGAAGAGGGAGAAAAGATAGAGGGAAAGATAAAGTGAAGGGGAGAAGCAAAAGGAAGAGGAACAATCTTCTAATTAAATTGGTGGGCAGAGCATTTTCTATTCTTTTTTTTTTTTTTAAGATATTATTACAGAGCAAAGCCTTAAAAAAAAAAAAAAAAAAAGATACTGTTCTGACTCCACTACTTTTGCTCATGTCCCTCCTTAGCATTTCATGCAAACAAAATTAAAAGTAGATGTTCAGTGACAGTGACATCGTCACAACTATACTATTGAAGGTCATTCTGATGGCTTAGAGGAAGAGGAGATAGCAGGCCTGGCGAGCATGTCAGGAAGGAGATAAGGAGAGCCAGAGCGCAGGCCTTGGGAAGAGGGAGGGTTTCAAAAACATTCACAGGTTTGAAAAATAAAAGTGATATGATTTCTCCCCTACTAAGATTCTAGTGACTTTCTTCTATAATGGTGAGGCTGAGGGACTGAAGAAATACACACACTATTGGAAGTAACTCTACTGTATAAAACATGAGTTTAAGTCCAGGAAAATTAAAAAAAAAAAAAAAAATTTCCCCATGAATTCACTATTTCTGCAAAAAGAAAAATAAGAAATAAATAACTCTGACTTCTCATATAGGGTGTTTTCCGAACATGTGCTTTTCTCATTTGCTTTCTTAATAACTGGTAATGGGGTTGTAAGCTCTGTTTCCTTTTCTTGAACCCTCATACAATACTGTGAAGTGTTGAAGCTGAAAACCATAAGTGAAATTAAAGTAAGTGAATATAAAAATTATAAATCACTGTGAGTCTTCTCATTTATTTATCCAATATTGTTCTGTACTTTTTCATACGGTTCAAAAAAATAGTCATCCCTGGTGGGCAGGGACTTAGCAATGAAAGACCAAAGCAGTGAAAATGAGATGATTCTGACAAATTGCATCTCACACTAGCATTCCTCTCTTTGACAGAGAAAGTTATTTAAATGTGGTGAGCAAGAGGTGTTGAAGCAGTATTATTATTTCCTAGAAACCATGTGTCATGAGTGCAGTGTCATAAAAAAGGGGGAAGTTCAGGCTAAGCAAAACTTGGGTCAATGGATGGGTTAACTAAATATGGAGGTTAGGTATTCCTGGGAAACTGCAGCCACAGACAGCCCCAGCCGAAACAGGCTTCAGACCTGAATCCCTTCTTTCCTTCAGAGGAAAGCCCCCAAACAGAAAGGAACCTAAGAGGACCCAAATGACCAAGGGCACAGGTCCAATGTGGAATGATTTCAGAAGCACAAAAAGGACATTTCACTCCACCTAAAATCTTGACCCAAGGTCAGCAAGTAAATGGCACAGCCCAAGATTATCAAACACAGCAGGCCACTAGTTTAAGTCTAGAAACAGTCCCAAGATTGGCAGACCTCCTGGCAGGCCACTGAGATGAAGACTCGGCCAGATGCAGGATCCAGATGTGCCAAATTCTCAGAAGACCATTGTAAATCCTTTATCTTATATACGGGAAGCAGACCACATCCCTAAGGCACCTATCTGCTGCTCACAGTAGATTCCACCCAGGAGCTGATTACCAGTCTCATCAGGTGGAGTAACTACATTCATCTGCCCAGCCACTCAAACCAGGCCCAGCCAAGCTGAGACACAACTTACCTCCACAGAAACCCTATGAGACAGGCCACTCTGAGCCAAAATTAACTAGATGGCATAGTGATTGGTTTTAGTTTTTATTGTAGCTATTTGTGACTCAGTAGTGAACAAAAAAGGAAAAGATTCATGCCCTCATAGAGCTTACATTCTAATTGTTGGCTGAAGCTATTGCTATAATAAACATAATAAATGAAGAAATCCATGTTAGAAAGGAGCAATGTTTTAGAAAAAAGGAAACATTAGAAAGAGTCCGGAGTATCAGGAGTGTCAGGTTGTGGATGTAGAAGTTGATTGCAGTATTAAATAGCATCAACTAAAAATTGTCACCACATTGTCCGGTCATGGGCTACATTATATATATGTTTGTTGAATAAATTAATTGATATATGAATTGATAAAATATGGACATTAAAGTCAGTATACCATCTTTGTACAGAGATACACAGAGATCCTCACAAGCATGAAGTAATGAGTGAAATATTTTTGTCTTTGGGACTCAGACATAATACACAAGGTCACACCTTATAGTTATATGTGTATGAATGTTATGTGCATATATATATATATTTATATGTATACACACATATATACATATATACACACATATGTATACACACATATACATATATATATATACATACATACACACACACATATATGCATG